CCAAAATAATATACAAGGACTAAAGCCTATGCCTCTATCATTCAATATTGGAACTTTCTCTAAGAGACTGTACATTTTCCCCTGCACATCAAGAATGACCCTGAATCAAGCAGACTGGCCTGGCCGGTCCACTTCAGCAATGCCAGCCAGCTACAGGCCACATCTAAGGAAAAACTTCCCAAAAACATGGAGCTGGGACAACTTATGCACAGTACAACTTTCAAGAGGTCACAAACCAACTATTCCATTATGAACTGGGAGAAAATGAAACAGCAATCTAAAGCTTGAAACTTTATTTACTCATCACAAAGGAAAAAAATGAATCAGTTTTCAAACTGTCCACACACATATTTGGAGGTCTCTGGAAACACGCAAAGTTATACCCTAGGAACAGCTCAGTTTTAAACTTTGGAATATAATGAACTATGGAGTCTGTGCAAGGCTTTGCCCAACACTTTTCCATACACTGACTCATTAATCTTTCGTATGGGTGATTTTCTCCTTGTACTAAAATAAAGAAACCCAGACTAGGAGAGGTTTAGAAGTTTATCAAGGACACACAACTAAAAAGAAAAGTAAGTCCTTGACAGACAGATATTCTGATTTCTAACTAATGCTCAGATGTGGCCCTCACTAGGGGTATAAAATTTCTAATGTTTGCCTCATTTCAACGTCTTTTTAAGATTATAGTGAATCTCTCATTTGTATTAAGCACCTTAATGTCCCACATCATGAGTTAAATCATCTTCCCTATATTTGTCACACTCACGAGAACACTATAATCCTATTTATAACACAGTTCTTGTCCCGGTTCCTTGAAAATAACTATGCTCCCAATGGTCAGGAATGGGTATGAACACGGTGAACAGAGTGTTTCAAAAATCTGAAGAGTCTCATCAACTGATGCCTTACCTCGAGTTGAATCTACAATTTTCAAAGAGCTGTAGGCCACACAATTCACATAACACTGAAATAATATAGAACAATTTAAAGCTGATTTATTAATGTAGGTCTTTCAGGATCCTGTTATGCTCAAGGCTCAGGATCATGAACAGCAATTATCCCTGGACAGTACAACTATGGAAAGTACAGCAGATTCAGATATATTTAGACTGAACCTGGAAGTTACCTCTTTAAAAATCCTAATAAAAAGAGATTATCATTTGTCTTTACCTGAAAGTAATATGCAAAATAAAAAGAAAGAAAGAAAAAGGTATTGGGTTATTGGATATTTATGGATGGAGTCCAGATAAATGAATGCTTACTTTAACATAAGTTGGAATTTTCACTATTTCAAACAAGAGCAGAAGGTTGCTGCAATTCCTTCTACAAAACGAATTCTAAAATGTAACAGATTTAAATTAAATCCACTAATCAGAAAACTACTTGACCATTTGACACCAAAAAAACCTTTCCCACCGTTTGTTTTAATCTTAAACATATTCTTCCCAATTCATAGATGAACCTAGTGTTTTATATTTGAATTTTTTTCTATGTGATAGTAAAGCAATGATTTTAATTCTTCAGATTAACTGTGTGACTACATAAGGAAAAGTGAATGACAGTTCAGCTATATTATTTACCTGACACTTATGAAGCCATTTGAAAAGAATACCCAATGAACAGGTAAACACGGGTATGAGGGGGTCATTTTTTTTCAACGCCCCATGATTTTTCATATTGCCTCCTATATATACTCCTTTATTACGCTAAAATAACCAACAAGCTGTCTTTTCAGCAATTCATGTCAACAATTATTTCAACCAAACAAGACAATGTCATTCAAAGTTTTTGTCCATCAGTTTTTACGATGACATGCAAGCATTTAAAAAAAAAAAAAAGTGCTTATTTTATCCACTCAAAGTGTGAAAGCAAAATTGAGCTATAGCTAATTCAGCAATTAAATTCCATTTAAGAGCTGCATCTAAGCATCTTCTGGTGGTGTGGAAGAAAGAAAACTGAACTAAGAGATCTAAAAAGGAATACAACCCAGTTAAATGTGAATAGATTTGGGAGTCAGAAAGTTCTACATTTCGATCTCCCATACAGTAACCACTAGCCATAAGCAGCAGTTGAAAATAAAAGTAAAATTTAAAATGCAGCTTTTCAGTCCCACTAGCCACATTTCAAACCCACAAAAGCTACATGTGCCTGGTGGCTGCCATACTGGAGAGCACAAATATAGAACTAATTCCATCACTGAAATAAGTTCTCTCAGGCCGGCCCGTGGCTTAGCGGTTAAGTGCGCATGCTCCACTGCTGGCGGCCCAGGTTCGGATCCGGGGTGCCCACAGACGCACCGCTTCTCAGGCCATGCTGAGGCTGTGTCCCACATACAGCAACTAGAAGAATGTGCAGCTATGACATACAACTATCTACTGGGGCTTTGGGGGGAAAAAAATAAATAAAAAAAAAAAAGAATGAAGTAAGTTCTCTTATGCTGTTCGTAGCTGTGTGTCTTATGCAAGTTACTTAATTTCTGTGAACTTCAACGCCCTTAACTGTAAAATGTCCATAACATCACCTAAATTGAAAGACTTATTAGAATTTTAATGAGATAATACACAAAAAGCACAATACATAGTGCTTAGTATACATTAGACATCCAACAAAGAGTAGCTATTAATATATCCTATACTGGACTTTGTGATGGCAACCCTTAACAAGTCACTTCTCCCTGGACCTCATTTTCCTAAAACTGAAAAGTTTGAGAAGTTCTTCTGGTTAACTGCTAAAGACGCTATCAAATTCTACCATGTTAAATTAAGTGTTAAGCAAAAAGGGCACGAACTCCTACTGAGTAAACTACTACCTAGGCTCCTAGGGCTTCCTAACCAATCCCAAGCATTCTTCCAGAAACCCCAGAAGACTGGCTTTCCAATATAGCCCATGGTCTGATGCGAGCTATTTATAAAGTCTGTCTTAAAAGGTTACCGGAATATCTTTCTGAAATTGTATATACTGTAATTAGAAGCTACAACCCCCTATTCCATGATGATATCTTGCAGTTTTAACATCTCTTTTAAATGAACACTATCTTTACAGATGAAATTTTTTTCTCTTAGAAGCATTTAAACCAAAACGCTTTAAAAGCACATACGAGAATTTTTCAATGGCTGATTTTTTTTTTTTTTTTTTTTACCAGCTATCTCATTCTTAGCCAGCTTGTGGGTGACCCTCTAGTGTCTAAACTAAGTGAGAATTATACCCTCATGGGTGAGGTCCCCTTGCAAGGCCAGATACACGTCGGAAGACTTTACTCTCCTTAACAGCTGCTCCCAGGGAGCCGGGAAATTTACAGACGGCTGGGTCCACAGCGCCCGTCTCCAATCAGGGGGAACCAAGGGCCCCCACATAAGGCACAAAACCAGGGCCACGGACTGCTGTAGGCTGCGGGCCTCTTCCCCCTGGGCGTTGTCCAGGCCACAGAGTCAAAGCTTTAACTTGAGAGTGGAAGAGTAACTCAGGCAGTGGAAATCAGAACAGAGCGGTGCATTTTTGCCCAAGGCCTCAGGCCTCAAAAAAAAAAAAAAGTGTTATTCCAGAGCAGATTCCTTTTCTTCCGGGTCTGTCTGCTCCCTCTGACTCTTTGCCCACAGCCACCGTGCCTCCCCTTTCCCCATGCACCACCTCTCTCCACATGAAAAAAAAAAAAGTGGCTTATTCCCTCTCCCTTAGTCTTCCCTGGCAGGGCCTGGAAACCGGAGGAAATTCAAATCAAATTAACTGCACATTAAAAAATAAACAGACAAGCAATCAGGGGGTGCCCACCCAACAAAAGACCTCGCCCGTTCCAAAATATGGTTAAGCCTGGGTGGAAGAGAGGGAGGGAGACTGGAAATTTAGAGGGATGGAGAGAGGAACGTGTGGATTTGGGGCCCCAGCGTCGGCCCATCACGGCTAAATTCTAAATTTTGTTTCAAGAAAACGCTGAGCTGAAGAGAAAAGAAAATAAAAAGTTGTAACTTTTAAGGAAGTCCGCAAACGGCACTGCCTGGATGAAATGCCATTGCTTCCCTTCGTCCGGGATGCCTGGCTGGGAGCTGAGACTCGAAAAGCTCCGACTCCAACCGCGCACTCCTGGAAGCCTCCCCACCAGCGGCGCCACCGGGCGGCGCAGCCCCGTCTCCAGGGACCCCGGCCCCCGGTGCTCGAGCTCCCACGGGGCGCCGGGACCGGACCTCTGGGAAAGTTCTCCGACACAGCCCGAGGCCCCACTTTCCGCCCAGACTGACAGGCCCTTCCCACGCCGGCCGGCCCCCGCCCCGCCGCGGGCACCAGACGGCCCGCGCGGCCCCTCCCGGCCGCTTCGGGGCGCGGATTCCGCCCGCCCGCCCCACCCCCGGCCGGGGCGCCCCTCGGGGTGACCGACTGACCGGAGCTACGCTGGCCCACACACCGGGTCGCCCGCTCCTTCCCGCCGCGCCCCGCTCCCCCGCCCGAGCTTCCAGCCGCTTGGCTCGCCGAGTCCGGCCGCGGCCGCCGGTTACCGCCCCCAGCCCGGGGGGGAGCCCGGGGGGCAGGACGGGGAGGG